TGGTGTTGTACAATCTGTACTGAGATCAGAAAAAATCATTTTTTTTACAAAATTTTTTCATATCACTCTTGGTTGAGCACTCCAGATCACGAAGATCTAAAAGAAAAAAGTTTTTTTTTAATTAAATTTTATAAAACTTCATAGGCGGCCCAGTTTTCTATGTAAATTAATCCGCCTACACACGCCAAAACAAATGTGATCATACAACGTGTTTTCGTAAAATGTATTTTTTTATTCGTAATCTGAAGTGCGTCATCGACAGTAATATTAAAAAAAGAACATCAAATGACGAATTTCATTTTTTTTTTTAGTTCTTTATCATTTTAAGAAAAAACGTGCAACGAGCATTCTTTGTATGGGGATTTTGGGGGAGATCAATCCACACTAAATTTGCATCAACTTTTATAACATTTAATAATTTCTTTTTTAATTCATTTGGTTTAGTTTTGTTTGGTTTACGGCATATCAACTTCAATGGGTTATTTAATGCCGACAAGCTTTTTTGGATAGGTTCGTATGAATAAAATAAGTATCATTATGTAGATCAGGTTTCATTCATGTATTTTTTAAAGAGGGTTTTTGTTGAGTCAAACATATTGCTGGTAATAGTATTTTTTCAGAAATGTGTTACTGTTATTTTCACTACAAAAAATCTATTTTTATACTTTCGTAGTGTTTTGACTCCATTTTAGGGATTAACTATTTTCCCATAGCTGGGACCCTAACACTCCGGGTGAGTACGAACCTGGGGACAACAGCAATTAAGAGGTGGTTCCACGCTCTTCAAAACCTCCCGATCCTTGCTGTTGGATGTAGATCATCGTCATACCAGAGGAAGTTTTGTTTTGTTTTTTTTTAATTCGAGGTTTCGAATGCTTAATTTATAGTGATATGAAAACAACATTGAAAAGATATTTTGGTCACATTGCCGATTGTACAACTCTACTGAATAGTTAAGAAAAAACATGATTACAATTCTCGTGACTTAAAAACATTAGCCGTGAATATAAGGCTTGAAATCATATATCAAATATATATTAACAAACAGTCCGCATTGTCATATAACCGAGATATTTGAAAGCTGCACAACAAGCCTACAACCATTTGATGGATAATTAAATCATATATATTTCATTTTAAGATTGATTAAAGTACCAAACAGGGATGTTTGGGTGTTAGTCTAGTATCAGGGATCCAACAACAAGGAGATTTTGGATGAAAAGGTTTTAAAAAATAATGCGTCTTATACAGTGGGGAAATACACTAATTATTTTTCTCGTAATAAGTGTTTGTCTGAAGTACATGTTAGGTTACCAAATACATCTAGGCTGCTTTAGCAGTATTCCCTGTCGGTACAGATATTTACCCAAAAAATGACACTGAAAAACTAAAGACAGCGATGGAGAAGTTAGAAGCTTCTATTTTCTAAAAAGATAACATGCTACCAACGGATATAAATGTGACATGACTTTTTCCTATACGGAAAGGAAAAGCTACTGGTTGTTAACAAAAGCTTTCTTTAGTCACAAGTCCGGTACGCCATTTTTGTGAAACCTGTTTCTAATCATGAGCCCTGGGGTACATTTTGTTTTACTGGCATCTCATAGAAAACTGTCCTCTGTAATGACAAGATTCAGTTTTACCGAAGATAATACACTCGCTCGTTCAGCGTTAAAACGGATGGAAAAAAAAAACAACGATATTATTTCGACGCTGAGTGAGAGGATAATTATATCTACTAAGTGTGCTAGTTCTTTCAGGCGAATGATAAGTTAATTGAAATTCAATGCAAATGCTCTTTGTTATAAAAGGAAAAACTACTTCATGGGAACTTGTGTGCATTACTAAAATTTATTGAATGAAGTTATCGCGAGTTATAGACAGATGATTCCACAACTTCCAAGTTCTGGCTGTTATTGCATTCTGTTCTTTTAGTCTTTACATCTCTCCTTTTCTATCTTTCCTTTTCTATCTCTCATTATTAACTTTCTTGTAATATTTTTCTCTTTTCTTCTCTTGCCTTATCTATCTTTGCATTCTTTACTCATCTCTCTTTCCTATCCTTTTTTTTTCCTCTTTTTTCCTCTCGACACTTTTTCCTCGGTTTTTCCTCCGTTCCTTTTTCTCTTTTTTTCTCTCCTCCCTCCTTTTTATTCTCTCTTTCCTCCTGTACCATTTTCTTCTCTATTTTTCCTCTCCACCATTTTCCCTCCATTCCTTTTTCCTCCTCTCTTTTTTTCTCACTTTTTCATCAGCCCTTTTTTTTTCGTTATTTTTCCCCTCCTCCGTTTTACTCTTCTCTTTTCCTCTCTTCCGTTTTCCTCTATTTTCCCCCCCTCCTCTTCTCCTTTTTCTTCTCCACCCTTTTTCCTCCCCTCTTTTTTCTCCTCTCTTTTTCCTCCATTCTTCCCCCACTCGTCCGTTTTCCTCCTCTCTTTTTACTCCCCTCATTTCCTTACCTCCTTTTTTCCTCCCCACTTCTTCAAATCTTTCCCCTCTTTCCTTTTTCCTCCCATATATTTTCCCCGTTGTCCTGATTTTCATTTTTACTTTTCATACGCCAAGCTCAACTTTAAATTCTCACACAAACACGCCTGTCTTTTCCACTGATCTCATCTGAGCCTTTACCGAGCCGCAATGAACAGAAAAACTAGCAACTGACTTTCACTCATTCTTTTCACTTAATTCACTTGAACACGCAAATCAATTACTTTTCGATTCATATTCGACTTTTCATCCATGTTTCAAAATTAGCTAAAAAAAATTACTCGATCAAGATAATTAATGAAAGCTTTGTAAATTATTCAATCAGCTTATTGAATTCATTTCAGCAGATTTTGCTTGATTCGATTATTTTCAGAGTTGTAACTTTCTCATCTTTAAGTTGCTTATTCGACGCCCTTAAATTTGCGTGTTTAAGTGGAAAAAGAAAAACTGGGGCCGCCTTTTTTTATCAGAGCCTTCGTTACCTTTAGATGACGATGTTCAGTTTATCCTTCTAAAAACTATTTAAAAATGAATTTTTATTTCCAGCAATACTTTTTTCGCTTTTTGCTAATTGTGTTGGTGATAATATTAATCAAAATGCTGAATCACCCAAGTAGGGATATTTTTATTTGTGCTTTTCATGCTGCAAATTTAATCAAAAACTCCCAAGCGTTTACTTAAAAGATTAAAATATCTGCCATTGTTTTGAATAAGAATTATCGAAACGATGAGCATTATACGAGATGGTTTTAAACATCCTCTTAAATTGATTCTGTTCAAAGAGTTTATTTAATGCAAATCCATATCTAAGCTATGGATATTAAAGGTTATATAATGATAGTTTATATATTTATAAAAATTTCTAGCTTTTTCTTGATTCGAATACTGGTCAGCTGCATTTTCTGTCAGAATTCTTTAGTGCTATATACCTTCAAGCCTTAAGTGGCCATGTCTCGCCACAGCTTTCTTTTCTTGGATATATCTGAAATGCAATATTATCTGGGAAAGCAGAATGTTGTCTTCTCTACGTTTTCAATTCAGAATAGTTCTTATGTTGAGAGCTTAGTCTACCCTGCTATTTAAATTGTAGCTTAGAGGAGAAAATGGTTAATACCATTCCAGAGGTAGGGTTGTGCGAAGTGGAAAACAGCTACAATCGAAATTCGAACTAGGCCTGCTGATCTTATTTTTCCGCGTCGATAGCCATTACACCACCTGCTTGTGAGAAATACTACCCATTTATTTGTGGTGAAATCTATGTAATTCCTACTGTAAATAATGAGCCTTTTAAAAGTTTAAAATGAAAAAAATAGACGGAATAGATTATAAAACGATAAGCAACAGGTTTTGAAAACTGGTATAAAGCTATCGTCTCTTCTCAGACTCTTGTAATCAGTTAGCGCTGAAATTAAGAAATCCTTATTGCTGTTGTCTTATGGAAATAAATACATGTTCTGATATTCTTTAAAAAAACTGTTATGATTTAATAATTGGTCACGTTTGCCTTCATGCACGAGTCAATAAGAAATGCCACTCTTAAATTTTCCTGGCTGCTTGGAATGGTTAAAAAATAGTACAACAACCAGATTAACTATTTTTTGAAAATGATTTTGTCAACAAATCCCTTCAATTTAAATCCCTTCAATTCTAGAATTTCTTTTAAAAACTGGAAACGAAAACGAGAAGCAAACATTTCTATATTAGTGTGATATTTATGATTATACTATATTAATAAGCAGTTTATGATTATGCTACAATATAATTCGGTTTTATCATTGATTTTTGTACATTTTATACCTACAGTACAATGAGTTTGTCATGCTCATAGACAGCTTTGACTTTTTTATATACTTCTCATTACTATTTTGTGTAAGTTTCCAAATATATTTAAGAAAAATATCTAAAGATATTTTCATATACAGCAACTACTGTTTATATTACATTTGACGATTGCTGAGGCATCAATAAATGTGGTATCGTCTTATACAAGGGTATTAGATTATTTCCGTCCGTTCACAAAAAGAATGTGTGCGAAGTAACTTCTTGTTACACACATAAAAAATATTATAATTAGAAAAGAAATTGTGCAATAATATTCTCTCCTAATTGAATGCTTGAATAGAAATAGGCAATAAGTTTTGTTAAAAATCGCTGCGTTCTTGTGTAAAGAGTGGCAAACATTTTTCGAATATCACATGATGTCTGAGGCTTAACGATAATAGGTTTTTCGGATCTAGAATGATTTATAGAAATTTTCCAAACATTATATATACCAACAGTACACTTGAAAATTTCACAGCGGATTTCTTATTTGAATTTCCTGATGAAACATAATTCATGAGTTAAAGACTGAATAAACGCCTTGCGAGTTCGACTATAAAATACCGTGTAAATTTGACTATCACATCGAGAAATATTTGAGCTTAACAACTTTAGCAAAATATTGCAATAACAATAATAATTATGACAACAAGTCAATATTTGAAGAGGATACAATTTAAGGTTCGTTGAATTACGGCCATATCACATTAAAATACCAGTTCTCATAAGACCATCGAAATTAAGTAACGTCGAGCCTCGTCAGTACCTCGATGGGTGACCGCTTCGGAATGTCAGGCTTGGATGTGCGTATACACGCATGTACCTATACATCCATGTAAGAGAAACTGGAAGTCGGAAAACCGAGTTCCAATTCCCGTCGGGTTTGTTATATTAATTTACGTGCAATAACTTTGACAAAGATATGGATCCAACTTTTCTCCCTCGGCTTTTGATTAATTAGTATCAGTATATCATTCTAAAAATATTTTCTGGTTTTAAAATAAATGGACCTCAATCGGTTGTTAATTGGGGCAAGAATTGGCTGGTCAACTTTAACGCCTCAAAAACTAAACTACTCCCTTTTAATCACCATACAGATCCTCCCCTGCCCCCCGCATTAGAATGTCTGATAGTCAACTTATTGAGAGCAACTCCCTTGTCTGCTCGGTCTCACGTTGACTGCTGATCTGAGATGGAACAAATACATTGAGTCAATTGTTTCGTCCACCGCGAGGAAAGTTGGCTCTCTGTGCCGCGCCAGGAAATTTTTCTCCCCGCAATCGATACTTCAAATATAGAAATCAACCATTCGCCTTTGCATGGAGTATTGCTGCCATATATGGTCTGGGGCACCTTCTGTTTACCTCGGAGTTCTTGACAAGATCCAGAGACGGATATGTAATATAATTGGCCCTGATCTGGCATCTCGTCTACAGTCGCCTCTCTCTCTGTCTTTTCTACAAATACTTTCATGGTAATTGCTCCGATGGGCTGCTTTCACTGGTTCCCAGACTCCATGAATTCAAGCGCCCTACGAGGCTGTCATCCCGCTCCCACCCTTACACTGTAGAAACTTTTAAATGTAGCCGTCTCTTCTACTTCAATAGCTTCATGCCTCGCACCTCTCGCCTGTGGAACACCCTTCCCTATTACTGTTTCCCTTGAGCTATAATCTCCAACTATTCAAATGTAATGTCAATCGACATCTCCAGTTATCTTGATCTATCCACTATCCCTCTCCTCATCCTTTCTTCTATCACTCCTATCTGCTCTCGCTCCAAATCTTCTGCAACCCCCTGCATCCTAGTGGCTTCACGTCTTGCTCGGGGCGCAATGCTTAAAAAAAATAAAATAAAATAACCTCCGAAAGGTTTATAAGCCACCCGCAAAAATTCAAGATTCAAAACTGATAATATTTTCCATTCTATTCAGGCGTTAAAGAGATGAGCACTGCCGACATTTTTGCCTTCTTCTTTCTTATAGAGTATGCTTTCTTTTTTCAATAAAACCAAACAGCGTCTTTACATCTTTTTCTTCAGTTTCCTCTTGCAAATAAAAGGTGATGTCCCATTATTTATGCGAGGTAGCGTGTATATATATATATATATATATATATATATATATATATATATATATATATATATATATATATATATATATGTGTGTGTGTATACTAATTCCTTATAATAAGACAGTACGTATGTATAGAGGGAATATACGTATACATACTCATACTAGCAAAAACACACCCAATACAAAAATTGGAAATAAATCTATGAACCCACAGGGGTCATTAAAAGATAAGAATACAGATATCTTTCCTCATCCTTTCTCGGACCAATCTTAATTGTTTTCATTACCCTTCAAGAAGAAGAACTTTCTCACTGCCAATCCAAGAAAGGAAAGACATCTGTGTCACTACCACCCAAAAAAGAGAATGTTCAACATCGAAAAACATAAGGAAAATTAATTCATTTTAATGATATGTGGAAATATCCACTCTTTGCCTGAAGAAAATCGCGTAACCCGAAGCCCGTGTTGCAAAATTATGGAAAATAAAGCATAATATATATTTTTAAAAAATCCCCATTACAACCATAAACGTTTGCGGTTTCTCTCTTCTTTTTAAAATATATACAAAACAAAACAAACTAAACGCGATATTCTTATAAAGTAATTTTTACTCAAAATAAATAAATATGCAATATGGCCCATTACGAGAGATTCTTCCAACAAATAAATGCCGCTTTGATGCATTTCGACATCTTCTGAGAAAGACACCAACGGTGCTAGTGATGCATTATCGTCAAATTGGCAGGATATTGCCCACTTCCTTGATTGTGTCGATAAACTGACAGGAAAAGCACTGAAGAAAGAGACGGCCATAGCCGTACAAACAATGTGTGTTTACTGAATCTTTGCAAGCCAGATAAGTATTGACACGTATCAATCACTTTCCACAATTTGCGGTATTTGTAGAAACCGGTCGTAGTCATTCGGGCTTCTTTGAGTAACACAAAGCAACTAGATGAGTAAGTATACGTTAGCGACTGGCAAATGATTGTCTATTCACAAGGGGTTGCAAAAAGGCAGCTGGTATTAGAAGAAAGACATTGTGCTCGTATGATAAACTAGAAGGAGAGTGAAGACGAAGCGGTGGCTGATCAATGGATAGATTAAATAAAGAAGGGCGGGAAATAGAATTTTAAAAAAAAGCGAAGACTTCTTTGGCGAAAGATCGAAAAGGCGTAAAGAGGAAAGGAAAAGGAACGATTAAGAAGATGAGAAAATGTTGAGGCGTAAGTGAAAGAAAAATAAGGAAGTGACGAGAGAAAGTGCAGAGGAAGTGTTGTCAAAGCAGCGGAATAAAACGAACGAAAAGTAGAGACGTAAGCAGAGATGATAACTAGAAAGAAAGATAAGAAAAGCCATTTTGAAATGATTATGTGGCAGGTGTTGCATACTGCCCATTATCAAAAAGATGCGAAGCAGTGTAGACTGTATCAACCGATTAGCCTTCGATTGCGAGCTTTTCTTTGCTTTTCATTTTCTAGCTTTGTTTGTTCTTGGTTTTCTTTTATTCGCCGACTTCTCCGCTCACATAAACTCTGTCTCATCTTTTAAGATTTCTCTCTGTCTTTCTCTATAGATATTTAGCTCCCTCTATGTTTGTGCAATTTCACTCTCTCTTTCTCTCTCCTTACGCAGTATCACTATCTATTTTTCAGCTGTTTCACTAACTCACTCTCTCTGCTTACGCGATTTCACTCTCTCTCTCTCTCTCTCTCTCTCTCTCTCTGCTTACGCGATTTCACTCTCTCTCTCTATCTCTGCTTACGCGATTCCACTCTCTCTCTATCTCTGCTTACGCGATTTCACTCTCTCTCTCTCTGCTTACGCGATTTCACTCTCTCTCTCTCTCTCTCTCTGCTTACGCGATTTCACTCTCTCTCTCTCTGCTTACGCGATTTCACTCTCTCTCTGCTTACGCGATTTCTCTCTCTCTGCTTACTGCTTTCACTCTCTTTTACGCTTTTCTCTCTCTCTCTGCTTACGCGATTTCACTCTCTCTCTCTCTCTACGCAATTTCACTATCTTTCTCTACATAAATTCACTATTACTCTCCCTCTCTACGCAATTTCATTATCTCTCTCTCTCTCTCTCTGTTTAGACAATCTCTCTGTGTATCTTTTTTAGGCAATTTTATTATCTCTCTCTCTAGGCAATTTTACTATTTATCTGTTTACGCAATTCCACTATATATATATATATATATATATATATACACACAATGTATATGTGTGTGTAGTGAAATTGCGTGAGAGAGCTAGTAATACATATGTATATATATCTGTGTGTCCGTTTACGCATATCTCTCTCTCTCTCTCTCTCTCTCTCACTCTACGCAATTTCACTATCTCAGCGATTTCTCTGTGTGTGTTTACGTAATTTTCCTCTCTCCATCTCTCTTTTATCCGATGTCTTCTTTCTTCCTGTGTCCGTCTGTCTTTCACTCTACTCGTCTTTTCACACTGTTTTTGTTTTTCCTTTGTTTTCTCCCTTCTTCTTTATTTTTCTTTCGCGGCTACTCATTTTTGTTGATGCTTTTGCTGAGCCTTTTGTTCGTACTTTCCGCTGCTTTTGAAGATGATCAATTGATGTTTCTTTGTCAACAACTTAGGCGAAATGTAGTTGTGTGATCAGGGAATCTTCCCTTGAGGTTACGTTCTCATTTCGCTGTACAACGCTTTCATAACGAACAATGCGCTCCAACTGCGTTCTCTAGCTTGCGGGTCCCCACAAGAACAACCAGCAACTATTAACTAAAAGGCTAAATATTTACTTTTGTTCTTCTGTGACAGGCAACGCTCAAAAACTTTCATGAAATGTCTTACGTACACTTGGTGAGACATTTTGTTGATGAAGGGCAGTTAGCCTTTTTTTATTTCTAACGTTTAGTCAATTTTTGTTAGTAATTAAATGGTTCCGTTTAGCAACTTATGACCTGACATATTTTATCACTTATAAAATGCTTGTATTAACAGTAATTAGAATTTTCATCTCGTACAAGAACTCCTGCAGAAGGTAATGATGGAAAGCGAGAAGAAAGGACTAAACATCAATTGCAAGACAGAATGTATTATTGTCAACAAAATGAAGAGTCCAACATGCAAATTATAAGTTGGAGATTCCAAAATCAAGCAACAAGAAATATCTGGGAAGTGTTTTAACAGAGGAGGGAAAGTTCGACACCGAAATCCAAGGGCGCATTGGATTAACGAACAATGCCTTCCAAAAGCTAAGCAAAGTATTAAAAAACATAAAAAAAATTCATTAGAAACAAATGAAAGTGTACTGAACTCCTCTTATATGGCAGTGGATACTGGATAATCTCCTCATAGATGAAGAAACTTGAAGCAACAGAAAACAGGTTCTACAGAAGGATACTGAGAATATACCGAATACGGGAACAACGACAGAGTTTTAAAGAAGATGAAAACAAAATTGACACTTATACTTAACATCAAGAAGAGACAATTGTAAAATCTAAGAAACATATTGAGGAAAGAATGTTTGGTAAATTTAATACTTTCAGAACAGGCTAAAAGCAAGAAGGACGGAAGAAACAGCGCACAGTCTATCTAACAAGCTTCTATAAATGGTTGGAGGAACAGGGTTTAGGAAAGACAGCAAAAAGACTAAATTTGCTAAGAGCTACAAAGGACAGGAAATTGTGGAGAGCCATGATAGCTAACGCCATGAAAGGACATGGAACATAGAAGAATAATGCTTTTCATTCTCATTGTTTGATTATAGTGTTTCCCCACCAGACATGTAGGCAATGAGTATTAAAATCGCCTCAGAAATTGTTTTCGTTATATGTACATAAAAAAAAAGATTATTGTTTCCGTTCAGATTCTATGGATGCTCATAAGATCCTATTCTGGAATAACGACCTGGCAATGCAGTAGGTTCAAATAAAATAATTAATCTGATTTGTCAACATATAATGCGCATATGTTTCATTTATGGGTTGTTTAAAAGCCATTCTGTCAAACATGTATGTATGGTTACGAGATATATATACATATATTTAAAGATAGGTTTGGTGGTACAAAATTTTTTGCACTGCCATAAAAAGACAAAAATTAGTTTTATTCTTACCACTCATAATAATAAAAAGGTAAAACTGAAAATCGGGCTAGCTAACCGGTTTCGTACATCCCTCAACAGAGCTAAATCGAGGTAAATAGAGTAAACTAGCAGTAGAGCCCGGCGTTGCCCGGGGATGTAACAGTTGAGTAAGACATAGATCAAGTATCGACCATCATAAAGACTGAAAAATAAAATTGACATAGATTATTGTTTAAGGTTGACGGACACGCATGTCTTAATTAGTTTTTTTGTTGTTGTTGTTGTTTTTTTACGAATTAGTCAAACCCAAATTCAAACAGAAACATTGTTTTCAATCGTTATGAGTCTATCGATTAAATAGAATTTTATTATAAACAATTGTCTTGTAAATGGAATTTATAAAGCATTCTGAATGAAAAAATAAAGAGAAAAGTGTGCAAGACAATAAGAAACACTACCTGCCAAAAAAAAGTGAAGTTTTGTTGAAATCGGTTGAAAAATGTAGGAAATCCGATCCCATATATAAACGAACACACACACACACACACACACACACACACACACAAACAAACAAACAAACAACCTGGGTTTTATAATAAGTATAACTCGATATGAGTTGTCCCCCTTTCATTCTGGCGACAGAATCGTGTTTTATCGTGTTTTCAAATTGATTTCATGCAAAAGCAATTGTTTTTCCAATTTTTGGCACTGTCAGAACCACTGCAAGGTAATTTTACGCAGTCCTGTGAAGTTTTGTTGAAATCGGTTGAAAAATGTAGGAAATCCGATCCAATATATAAACGTACAGACACACACACACACAATCTGCGTTTTATAATAAGTAAGATTATATAATTAAAAAAAGGACAATGGACAAAGTTTATTGGTGGGGAAAAAATAGATATATATAAGGAAAGAATTGCCTGTTGCACAGTATAAATTTATTACTTAAACACTCACACACACGATGTACTGCTGGAAGGTTTTCTATCCCACTACGAAGCTTTTAATCTAAAAAATTAAACCTGATTTCGTCAGCTTTTTGGAAATGTATCGGGCCAAGAATATTCCAGCCTCCTTTCGTCTAATCTTTTCGCAATATAACACAAGTGTATGGAATAATATTTATTAAAACATTTTAAGTTTTATGATTTATAAAACTCACCCCAGAATCGTTATACTGTAATGTTAACAATAAAGTTTCATAATTCATATTACAAAAGAACCCAGGAAGTATCTCAGTACATAATTTAATTTTAGTTAATCAATGCCAATCGATTGTCGGATATAAAAAAAAATAAGTGAAAAGAATATAAAATACTTCTAAAATCCTGAGTGAGAGTATATACATTTACATATCTGAATGACAGCTGAAGAATACATAATCTTCGTGTATTTCATTAAAATAACATACATGACACGCAAAACCTCATCGAAATAACTGAGTGTGTAAATAAAACTTTCAGTCAATCGAGAAAAATAAGCTTTTCTAATTGGCAGTTTTGTATCTAAATAATCTACTCTAGCTTACCGAAACTTTCAAATGTTTGCATTGTAGTTTCTGGCATCAAAGAGATGTAAAAGAAAACGCTTAGCTTAAAAAAAAGAATTGAAATGAAGCATATTCTAGCATCTAAGGAATATAATCAACCTCGAAAATTTCCAGAGAAACAACACGGAGATTAATTGAACGCCATCAAAATAAACAACGATAGATCATTGCGCAAATAGCAGTTGTTCGTTTTCTTTTATATATACAAAATTCTTTTGATTTGAAGCCTTTTTAGGATTTTACAGTTTTACTTTGACTGACAACCAAAAATGGGAGAAATCACAGAGGAGACGAACTGTGGTTGACGAGGCAGTACTACAGCGTCAGTCTCGGATAAATTTGCTGGTTTATTGTAACATTGATGATTTTTTGTAATGATTTATAGCCATATATAAGATTCATTCTGTGGTCATATGCAAAAGCTGAAAATATTCTCTTGTATGAAAGTGTATTTTCTTCATTTATTTCTCTACAGAAATGTAATATCCGATCTTTAATTATTTACATTATTCGGACAATTGTCCTCATCTTCGTCGCCATATTTATTACAACGTTTCGGCCGTTGTACGCTCCAGCCTTCTTGATGTGGTTGGAATGTCGAACTGAACCCTTTATTTCGCTCACTGGGATAGACTGTTCTAGTTATAATGTAAATAATGTACATAATACCTCATCTCAGAAATATAGACAGATACCGATCTGGAATATTTTCTACACAATGAAAGTTGCCGTATTTTAACGTTTTTAAAAAGTAAATTTTCTATGCACTCATTTGAACACATTTTTCTTTCTTTTTTTTGGGGGGGGGGTATTTTTCTGGTGTTTACTGTTATTTGTGTTTTATTTCTCTTTTTTGGCTGTGTTTTTGGTTATTTGTGTTTTGTTATTTGTGGGATCGTTTCGTCATGTGTTTTTGTTACGACTTTTGTGTTCACATTTAATAAATTTCTCGCTATACGACATCTTTTGTGGGTGAGTAAACATAGCATACTTGTCTTTTCAAAACTCCATTAAAACTCACAAGTTTATCCCTTTTAGCTTGTAGTTAAGAAAATATAATTTCTTAAGATGAGTCGCAATGGCATTTAAAATTTCCTTCGCCCAACCGTTGTATTGTAGGAATTGGCTCATTTCTCGTTTCATCAAAAATGAGAAATTTATATGAAAATTTTAACGAGAGCAAGAATTATGAAATACATTACAATCGTCCTTCACGCGTAGAGTCAGTGATCCCGACTACGGTTGACTCCTTATAGATTCATATATCATATCTTTCACATTGAGGCTTTAAAAACGAACATTTTAAAAATGTATATGTTCCCATATTTATACAATATATTAATAATATTAATATATATTATACAATATATTAGTATATTTATACAATATATTAATAATATTAATATATTTATTTATTTATTTAAAGCATTACGCCCCGAGCAAGGCGTGAAACCACTAGGATGCAGGGGGTTGCAGAAGATTTG